ACGATCTATATGGAAGGGCAGTTTTGTTGATGCATTCTTGTTGAGAAAGTTTTTTTTTTCATTCTCCAACTCCGGATGAGTTTGAGGCCTCCAACAAACTATACAATCACCGCTCTCCAATCTTGAGCAATCATTCGAAGGCTATAATTACAAAAAAGCTTCTTGTGGATTGTAGCCCACCAAGAAGTCATATGATGAATGTTTATACAAAAAGAATCCACCGGAGTACTTTTATCTTCGAAGATTCTACCATTCCTCTATTTCCAAAGAAGCCAAACCAAAGCTCTAGCTGCACAATTCCAAAGAACAAAGACTTTCCCTTCGAGAGCACCTCCTCCAAAGCTCTCCAAAATAAAATCATCTATCTTACTCGGAAGACATAGGCTAAGGTCCACACTAGAGGCTATATAATTCCATACCTTACCAGTAACCGAGCAGTGTAGAAAAAGATGATCCACCGATTCTACACTTTGTAAACACAGGCTGCACACTGAGGGAGCTTTTTCTGAAGTCTGTCTGTCGTATTAATCCCTCTATAAAATAAGGACCATATAAACACTTTCACCTTTTCAGGAACTCGAAAGTTCCAAATCTGATTTGTTGTAGAGGATTGCATTTTAGAAGAAGGGGTCGTGAGCGCCATAAAAGCAGATTTTACCGTAAAAATTCCAGACCTATCTGCCTTCCACCACAAAATGTCTCTACCTTGCCCCAAAACTACTCCACCCAGCTTCTCGGTAAAGGAAGCCCATCTGTCTACTTCTCGTTCAAAAAGATTCCTTCGTAAACCCAGATCCCACGTCAACTCGTCTATCCTCCAACATTCAGAAATCGATTTCCCTTTCATAGAAGAGAGACCATAAAACTCAGGGAAAGAAACTGAGAGAGGGAGAGAGTCCACCAAGTGTCTTCCCAAAATCTAACTATGTTGCATGTGGACACTTTAAAGAACGAAAGGCTTTGGAAAGTTCTGCGATTTGCTTCTATATCAATCCAAGGTCTTCCTGTTGAAGACCCCCTCCCAACCTTCGTAGTCCAGCCGAAAGCCTCCACCCCGTAAATAGCGACTATCACTTTTTTCCATAAACTTTCCTCCTCCACAGCGAAGCGCCAAAGCCATTTCATAAGTAAAGCTTTATTTTTGAGGTTAAGGGAGCCCACCCCCAAACCTCCCTGCTTATAAGGACGGGCTGTAAAGGACCACTTAACTAAGTTTCCCGCCGGTCTGTGCATTCCTCATTCTAAATAAAATCCCGAATCAGCTTTTCCATGATCTTTATGACAACTACTGGAGCTTTTAGAATCGAGAAGTAATATAATGGTATGCTATCTAGAACCGACTGTGCTAGGGTGAGTCTTCCACCTTTAGAGAGCAACAAAGATCTCCATTTTTTAAGGCATTTGTGCGTTTTTTCCACTAGAGGATCCCAGAAATTGGAAGCCCGATGATTACCACCAAGGGGGAAACCCAAGTAATTACAAGGAAAAGACTCCACCTTACAACCAAAGCAGCAAGCCCAAAAAGCTATCTCATTTGAGCTACAATTGATGCCAATCAAAGTCGTCTTGGAAACATTTAGTGAAAAACCCGACGCCAGCAAGAAAAAGTTGATCACACCCCACCAATTTTCTAGGAAATGAGACGACAGAAGACTAAAAACCAGCACATCATCTGCATATTGGAGGTGAGTAACCTCAAGACCACTTGTAAGAGGGTTTCTTACGCCTTCTTTTTTGGATGTTGGAAAAAACCACTCTAAATTTCAACATCTTTTCCAGCTTCAGTTGAGTCATTTGGTTAACTCTTTTCCCCTCTCCTATTAGCCAAATTACATAATTCTTCACAGCTTTAACAAACAAATGAGATTGGCTTCCCTTATCCAAAATACATGGAATAACCAACTGTGACTGACGTTTTCTTTAGAAAGAAAATTGTTATTCAAACTCGAGGCTTATGCTCTCACTTTGAGAAATTCTCGAAACTATTTCAAACCAACCAGAGACCAAGTATTCAAAGTTCTTTGTCCAAAAAATAAAGTCAACAAGTTGAATGTAGATATTCATTACGATCTCCTCTCATCTCGGCCATCTGGAAGTTCAAGGTCCCGAAGAAGATCAAAGTTTTTCTTTGGTCTCTTGCACATAGAAGACTTAAAACCCAAG